CGAAGTGTGGGTGGGGGGTGAAAAGTCTGCTCACGTGTGCCAGGGGCGTGGATCTGAGCGTGAGAGCGGACAAGAGTGTGATGCGTGTGTGCCCGTGGAAGCATGTTCACTGCGTGCAGGAGCATGAATGTGTGTGAGCGTGAAGTATGTGTGCGTGAGGGTAAGGGCAGGTGTGAACACGAGAGGTTGAGGTATGTGCTATAGTGAACACAGGTGTGCAATAGTGAGTGTGAATATGATCCGTCTGGAGGAGTGTGAATAAAGTAGAGGTGTGACTGTATGGGCGTGAGCATGGGTGTGTGATATGAGTGTGTGGGCGTGAGCATGGGTGTGTGATATGAGTGTGTGGGCGTGAGCATGGGTGTGTGATATGAGTGTGTGGGCGTGAGCATGGGTGTGTGATATGAGTGTGTGGGCGTGAGCATGGGTGTGTGATATGAGTGTGTGGGCGTGAGCATGGGTGTGTGATATGAGTGTGTGGGCGTGAGCATGGGTGTGTGATATGAGTGTGTGGGCGTGAGCATGGGTGTGTGATATGAGTGTGTGGGCGTGAGCATGGGTGTGTGATATGAGTGTGTGGGCGTGAGCATGGGTGTGTGATATGAGTGTGTGGGCGTGAGCATGGGTGTGTGATATGAGTGTGTGGGCGTGAGCATGGGTGTGTGATATGAGTGTGTGGGTGTGAGCATGGGTGTGTGATATGAGTGTGTGGGTGTGGCGGTGAGTGTCAGATTAGTGTGGTCACGAGTGTGCTCTTGTACTGGAAGGAGGGTGTGAACACGAGCGTGCACAAGAGCGGGAGTGTGAATATGAAATGTGGGGTCGACACGAGGATGTGTCCTTCTGTGTGTGTGAGTGTAAACGAGCATAGACACGAGTGTGCTCTATAAATGATATCGTGCAAGAGTGCACACTGTCTGTGCAGGATCGTGAGTGTGTGTGTGAGTGTGAGTGTGAGTGTATGAGTGTGGGGTGTGAGTATGTGGGGGTGTGAGTGGGGGTGTGTGTGAGTGTGGGGGGTGTGAGTGTGTAGGTGTGTGTGAGTGTGTGAGAGAGTGTGTGAGTGTGTGGATTTGTGGGGGGGGTGAGTGTGTGTGAGTGGGGGGTGTGAGTGTGAGTGTGTGTGTGTGAAGATGGCCTTCAGTGGGCTCTGGTGGGGAGGGGATGGGGGGCTGTTTAAGTGTGAGGCGGAGGTGGACACAGTCGCATCACTGAGGTGTCGGCCCCTCCCTGAGCTGCGGAACCTGATTGGTTAACACTGAAAGCCAAGCGCCAGGCGGTGGTGGCGCCGCCTTTAATCCCAGCACTCGGGAGACAGAGGCAGAGGCTGTGGTGGCACAACCTTTATCCCCAGCCTTCCAGAGGCAGAGGCACTCAGACCTCTGTGAGTTTGAGGCCAGCCTGGTCTACAGAGCAAGTTACAGGACATCCAGAGCTGTTATACAGGGAAACCTTGGTGGTTAATTGTTGCAGGAGCCCATTGTGGGTAGTATATGCCTGGGCCAGTAGGGCTGGGCTGTATAAAAGCAGCTAGCAGAGCAAGCCACAGGGAAACAGACAGTAAGCAGCAAATTGCT